ATTCCAGCATGCCTTAACTTCTATAGATGATAGGCGGTAGCTTCATGCTTTATTTAATAGTTATGATATACAGTCACAAGCCTTCAAGGGGTGTAACATATGCAAGCCACATAGTCAAAGCTGAGAATATACATTGACAAAATCTTATTTACCATCTTGTCTTTTAAACATTTAATACAAAGCTTCAAGCTATTGTTTATAGAGCGACATTATACCTAAATTTATAGGCATACAAGCTTGAAAATTTGACTTTCAATGCAACATGATATTCTGTAATCATAATTTGGGATTTTTCTCGTGCAGTGAGTCCCACAATGCATTTGTTATTTCTCTCGGCCATATACTCATTCTAGAGAGTAATCAGGAAATATATATATATATCCTGAGTTCACTGCACTTCAGTGGTAGCAAAATATCCTACATGGATTTAATAATGACCATAATAAATAATTCTACTATTCGGAGTGATTTCATGAAATTTCTTCTTCTTTTGAGGCATGCATATATTAACATAAATTAGATCATGTGCATATAAGTTTACTACATGTAAACAAGTAGCAAGGTGCAAAATATAGTGGACGGTTATTCAAAATATTCTTAGAAGCATCCTAACATTTTTCAGGATTATGGTATATACAATTTTTAGAATTAATACAAAAAATTCATTATGCTAGGAAAAACAAATATGACTCTCTCAAGGGTAATAAGTCTAAGGTCTGTAGGATTAAGAGAGCTCATACACCTTATAACATGTTTCTAGTGTAATCATTCAAGATTTTATTCTTGCAATTACATGATATATAATTTATAATGTGTGATAGATAAATGCATTCAAAAGAGCATAAGAATATTAACGCATAGCGTATATATAAACAATAAACAAATGTTTGTAAATAACATACACAACTATTCTGCAGGAAAGAGTGCTTATTTGCTTAATTCAATGCCACTGTGATTTCTTTGCATAATCCAGATTTATTTTAGCTGATTATTTCTTATTTAATTCTACTCCGTATTCTGGCTAGTCTAAGAGATAGGGGTCCTGCGTTCAAGTTCAAATACCATGGCCTAGGCCATGCGACCCCGACACGATGCGTGGTGGTGATGCGTTCGGGACATCATTACCGTGCACACCGATTTCAAACCAGCTGTGAGCCATAGAACACGCATGTTGATGCTGATGTCGGGAGGTGCAACGTTCATGGAGACGAACATGCTGGTTTGCTCCAGATCACGAAGGAGGTCGTCGACTTCAAGTCGGCAACGAGAACGGGACGTTTCGAGTATCAATGCTAGAGATATAAATCGTCACCGATTTCCATTATACTCGGTATTCGATTGTCGATTCAGCGAAAAACACCTGGTAGCAGTAGCACTGAAGCCTTCAGGCTCGTGCATATACAGATGCTCCCACTCGTCAGTAGCACTAGGCCGGCGAAGAACATCTAGTACATATACAGCTCGGCATAACTTCCGGTTTTTGACTTTCATCTGCCGTGCTATGCGTATTTTTCTTCTATGCATCAATGCATGTCCGCATAGATGTGTGTGTGTGTGTGTATATATATATATATATATATATATATATATATATATATATATATATATATATATATATATATATATATATATATATATATATATATATATATATATATATATATGCGAGCTACTGTATGCATGTATTATATATAAATTAAAAGCAAAATAATTCAGCTTGATGCATGGCCGATCGGTACTGAACAAGTGAACATGCAGGCTCAGGGTCGCACGACAGTGATCGTGCAAGATCGATTTCTCTGCAATGCAGACGTGCAGTGATCTTCGTGACAGGAGCATGTATCCATGCGTATATTCTTGGTGTACCGGCCAGCCTGTTTATTTGGCTGTGGCTTGTCATAAACGATCGTAAATTTTAGTCGGAACAATATTTTTTTCTCACACAAACCAGCCAGCAATACTTCTTCACGAACCAGCAATGAAACGAACCAGCCAACCAAACAGGCTGCGTGTGTGTATGTCCGTACTTTCGTGTACATGTGTACTTCCTGTACAGTTCAATTATTCAAGAGAATAATATATGTAGACAGGCTTGATGGCTAGCTCACAAACGATTTACGATTCAAAGACATCTATTCAAACCTCACAGATGATATCAATTTGATCTACTTCACATATTACATAGGGCGGTGGTCAGTACATACATATCGCGTAGGGCGTTTAGCATTGTCGTAGAATCGCCTGTTTGACGGCGATAGTGCATGTCGATGCAGTTTAGATTAGTTGCAGGTAGAGCTAGCAGATCCGTTCCACTAACAACGTTAGGATGTCGAGCGTGGACATAGAGTTTGTCGTGCTGATAACATATTATAAAACATGTCGCCAGCGGATTCGGACCTTTCCCTCTCTGTCTCTCATGACCAACATATTAGACGAAAGTAGAAGAACAAGTAGACACAAGATAGAGAAACTATTCTTTATTACTCTTAATATTGATAATTACAACATAGAGTTTTTATATATATATATAGTTCTATCATGACCTAAGAATTTGATAAAAACTCATATACAAACAAATTAGAATTAGGACTATGATTCCTCCTCTCCTCTACCATATGGGCCTTGTTTAGATTGCAAATTTTTGAGTCGTACAAACTTTGTTTTGGACTAACTAGACCAAAAGATTAGTCTAGTGATTTACAACTAAACTATGGATGAAGAAAGAGCCAAGGCCATGATAGAGTTGTACGTTTTACCAGAGGCGGAGCCACCGAATCCGATCGAAGGCGGTGCGGACTGCGGGGTGGGGAACCGTGCCCGTGACGACAGCTGCTTAGCACCGTCTCCGACTGCATTTTCTGATTTCTCGCCTGCACAAGTCCTGCGTTGGATCGCCGCCGTTTGGTTTAGCACCATACCGGAGCGTTTCGCTGGACGCGACCAGCTTAACGACGTGCCCGGCCAGCTACCCCTCGCCGGGCCTCGTAGCGGTGGCCCACGTCATCCCAAGCTTGGGGCAAAGGTGCTGGCTCGGCGGAGCGCAGACCAACGTGTAGACCGGATCCGACATCCTCGCTCCGTCCCTGATCTGCTCTCTATCGAACCACCACCTTACGCCGTCCCTCTCTGCTCTCCTTCGAACCACCACCTTTTGCTTCTTTTTTTCTCCTCTAGTGAGCACCGAGAGAATGATGTGAACTATAAAAAAAGCTATTATAACCTATGGGCTATGAAAAAAGTTGTAAAATATTTGGTTAAAACAACTATGAAAAACCTATCTCTCTATCCACAAAAGAATATAATTATGAAATCCATACCGATCAAACTAGCCTAACTTTGATTAAGTTTATAATAAATAGTACTAGTATTTATATCTCTAATAAATTTATTATGAAAATATATTCCATAACTAACCTAATGATATTTATTTTGTATCATGAATGTTCATAATTTTAGTCAAAGTTCAAACTGTTTAACTTTTAAAAAAAACGAGAATTATATTTTTTTTATGAAGGGAGTACCTTCTCTCTTTCTCCCTTAAAACAGGTGTTAACCGCCTCTCTATTTCCACTCGTTTGGAAAACCAAAAATCCAAAAGTAGGATCCAAAATACTACGAAAATTATACTATACGAAAATAGTTACTTCTAGAAAAACAGTTTCTCCGTTTGATTAGCATTCTGTTTTTTAAAAGCAGAAGCTAAACTAAACACAACATCTCTACCAACAACCATTTATGATCACAAAGCCATTATACCAAGATGCAGACAAGAGGCCAGCAAATAACGAAAGAACACCAACAAGCAAACAGGTTGTTCGCTTGTTTTAGCCAGGACTTATCAGCTAGCCAACAGTATTTTCTCTCACAACAAACCAGCACTAGCCGGGCTTATAAGCCCAGAAACCAACCAGCGAACAGACAAGCTGAAAAGGACAAATGACAAGTCTCGTCAGGAAGCCACCGGACGGTTACATCTCCACACAGCGAAAGAAATGTTATCAAGGATTTGATGCTCCAGCGTATAGCTTTGAAACAAGGTGTTTTTCAGAGTGCCCGGTCCGCATGACTGTGTCAAAATCCGGAGGGCGAATTCCATTGCTAAACGGCAAAAAATCACGTGGGCTTCATTTTCCATCCAATGAAGACGGCCTCTGCCTTTTACATCGCTTTGTACTATCAAACCAACAAAAAAAGTAGGGTTTACAACATTAGACCACATGTTACCACCGCCAATTCAAGCCATGTTTTCTCCGTCTCGCCTTTATGATTACATCTGCAACATACAGAAGACAAAAGTACTCAAAACCTGCCATAGGCCGTAAGGAACACCAAAAGGTACAGATTGCACACCACAAAGAATTGGCACAAGTGGAGGGATGCATGTCATCTTTTATCCACTCATAGTCTAATACTGCTATGTAAGGAACCGTACGTATAGTTGCCTCGTGGTAACTGTGCGAGTGCAGGAAACAGGCCCCTAGTGCATGAACATACATCTGAACCACGCAATTGAGAGCACTGTCAGTATGGACCAGCTACCTGCTTGAGGCACTGCATCTTCTGACATCTAAAGTTGCCGCGTATCATGTTTCATACTCAAGAATGATTCATACTCCTATATCAAAGGAAGGGATGGAAGGACAAAGAGCAGGCACACCTCCAGTGTTAATCAACCATTTTTTTTAACACATTAATCAATCATTCCATTATTTGAAGGGTCTACTCTATTGTCGCAGTCGATAACAGCGTCAAATATCAGGTCCAGTGCAATTACAGTACATAAACAAACCCTTATGGAGAAAAAATAAACAAACTTATTCAACAAAGAGCAACCCAGACATCATAAATTGCCAACCTTCCCGAAAATTCAAGGTAGATAGTTAGCATCAGTACCTGCAACGAGCTTTGTCTCAATTCTCAAGTACCTGTGCTCTGAAAGTCTTCTAGGGAATAGACCAAAGCACTCTTTCAGAAAAAAACAGACCAAAGCACCCACTTGCTTAATGCACCCCATAACCATGTAGAAGAAGAGTGTCTGCTATCACATTCCTTGCTTCGGAACATAATGTTTCTGCATCATTTCCTTGAATAGGTCGGTGAATAATCACCTTTACTGAACCTGAATTGAGAATTCCTTCCATTCCAGAAGGCATCAATTTCCCAGTTCCGATAAGAGTAATAGGTATCACAGGAGCTCCGGTCTTTGCGGCGACACTGAATGCGCCACGCTGAGAAAAATTATGACAGCATGTCACTGCTCCAAGAAAAAGTTAAAAGCATAATGAACAGAGAAATAAGATATAGTTTGGTAAAACCTAACCTTAAATACACCTAACTTGCCATCTCTACTTCGAGTACCCTCTGGAAAGAAAAATACAGAAGCTCCTTTTCCCACCAAGTCCACGCACCGTTTGAGACAATCCTGCATTTCCAAAACCAATGTTATGCAGAACATGGAGCGCAAATTGAAATATGGTGTCTAGTTAGGAAATAGAATTACATGAACTTGGTTATTTGGTTTACTTATATATGTTTTAAAGCTCATGCCAAAGCTGTGTAAACCAAAAAGAAGAAGAAAGAAAGTGAGCATGGCAGGCAATTTACAAAACAAAACTGCCTTATGTGTCCCTCTAAATGATATAAATGATCCAAAAAATATAGTATCATCACAACTTTATGTAAACCATAATCTAAATAGGGATGAGTTTACTCATACCAGCTGGCTCCTGCTGTCCATACGCCGCAGAGGAATCACACCCAAGAGATACATTGCCCACCCTATAATAGGGAACATAAAGATACTGGTCTTGCTTATAAATTTGAAGCACCTCCCTAGAGTTAGAAGGGTATAAATATCCAAGAAGCTCTGATGGTTAGCAACATAGACTCCAGGACTGCTATTTGGAGGTAGATTCTCCATTCCCTCAACCTCAAGCTTGTAGAACATGGAAATTGTCAACGTAGCCCAAATCTTCGCGATGTAGTGCTGCACTCTCCTACGGTACCGGTCAAATAGCAACACGAGTGGATGAACCACAACCATAGCTACAAACAAAAAGATTGCTGCAACTGCAGTCACCAAATAGAAGCAAACCCCTCTGACTCTTGAAACCAATTGCACGCCTGTTAAAATAATTTCAAGTTAGCACAAGAAGATCCAATTCTATCTATAGTTTGATATTTGCATTTTTCTCTGGACAATTCATTTCACAAAAACTATTTGTCGCCTTGTTGTACATGACCACATGTTTTCCAATAAGCATGAGACACAACTAGTACCTGCATCTATTGATTCTTCTACATTCCTGAAACAGTGAAACACAATGGTGCAGTACTGCTACACTAGGCCCCTGTTGGCTTACCCCATATTCGGCTTGTTCGGCTTCTTTTTCAGCCAGAACAGTGTTTTTCTCTCACAATAATTCAGCCGGAACAGTGTTTTCAGCCAGTTTCAGCCAAGTTTCAGACCAGCGAATATAAGGTGTTTAAAAGGTTACACACTGCCAGATGTGTCCCTATTTCTATTGTTGAAAAATGCAATGACGCCTTTCAGTTAGTTGGGAGTGCCGGTTGTAACCATAGTTGATAGTATTTAATCATAGGAACCAAACGACTGTTTGTTTTTGCATTATGAATCTGCTGAGCATTTGCAACAGCGATTCAGGCACTGCAGGTTTGCAAAGATTTCCGCACTCCATAACTTGGGGCATTTAACTTTTTGCAATCATGAGTTAGCCAAAGACTTAGCCTTGAAAAGATGGAATATACCCAAAGACTTAGCCTTAGATAGGAGTGCTTGGAAAACAGCTATTCACGTGCCTGAACCTTAGATTGCTTCTGCTGGTTTCAACTCTAGCCTACCCCAACTTATTTGGGACTTAAAGGCTTTGTTGTTGTTGTTGTGATGAGTTCATGAGAGGGGTCACGCTTAGCCCCTCTCATATTCACTCTTCTCATAAAGTGAGAGATCATTTACCGGACATCTCACGTCCATCTAAAAAACGATTGAAGACATTTTAACATACTCAGCAAGCTGGATACCTGACAGCGCCGGCGTCGAATCCCCAGCTGCCGCGGCGGCTGCGCCACCAGCGACGACATCCGACCACACAACCAAACCTCTCCGCCGGCGCCACCTCGTCGCCAAAACCTGCGTACTCGGGGACCGGAACACCGCCACCGACACCCGATGCCGCAAGGTCCTCGCCCCACCGCCGCCGCCGCCGCCAACGGCCGCCACTACGAACCAACCAATAAATCATAGATAAGATAAGATCAGCACCGTGGCTTCCCCCTGAGACGGCCTAGCGGGCGAGCAGAGAGGCGTCAGCGATACCGTGGGCGGACGAGGAGGAGGAGGAGGAGGCGGCGATGGGGAGAGGCGACGCGGCGGGCCCCGGCCCGATGAGCATCCCCATGTCGGCCCGCGCAACCAACCCCCCGCCGCCTCCTCGCACGCTCCGTTCCCACAACGGGGGAAGAAGAGTCTGGGGCCCGTGATCTCGTTCGCGGCGACGGAGTATGGCCGGCGACGCGGACGCGGTGGGGAGGTGGCGCGCACGTGGCGAACGTGGGATGGGGAGATGGTGGCTTCGCTGGAGAGACGAGCGAGGAACGGATAAAATCGTGGGGCGGGGGGTCGGACGGTCGGTGGGCCGTGGGTGCTCGGCGACGCTGACGCGGTGGCACTGCTCGCGGCTCGTGCGCGGACGGGTACGGGTAACGGGTTGATGTCTGCGTGCGTGCGCCGGCGAGGCGACGCGACCGGTGGGGTAGGGGGCTACCGGCCGGCCGGCGGCACGTGGGTCCAAATGGGCTAAAAGCCTCGGCGTTTTGCATCGAGGTTTTCAAAGTTTCTTGTGCGGTTTGGAACTTACCTGGAAGGCCGATGTTTGTTTTACTTCTTTAGCTGTAGTTGCAAATTTGTTGGTTTGGAACTTGCCTGGAAGGTCGATGTTTTCCTTCTTGTAGTTGCAAATTTGTTAAGCTGAACCTCTGAAGCTGCAGGAGCAGAACAAATCTGCTACCTTTCAGGGCTCATTCGGTTGGCCCGGGTAATTGCTCCAACTGATCAAAGGTTATATAAATTAGTCAAGTAAATCCGGGTAGGAATTGTTTCGGGGAATGATTCCTGGTAACCGAATGAGCCCTTATGGAGTATATATATGTGTTGCTCTTGCCGATCCAAATAAATCAGTACCATTTTCGGTTCGAAAGTAAATGCACTTACAATTAATACTGATAACAGGGCACAAATAAATCAGTACCATTTTCGGTTTGAAAATAAATGCAGTTACAATTAATACTGATAATAACAGGGGTTCATACCTACTACTCCTACCACTTTCGGGAGCAATCTTTTAAGCTCAAGCAACAGAAGACGGGGATTCTAATTCCCTCAGAATAGTTTGTAGATAACGAATTAACGAGCGCATCTTCCTTAGCTATTGACAGGCCGTGCAGTATAGCATGGGTCGTTTGGATCTTTGGAATTGAATTCATTCTAATAGTTACAATTTAGGTATAGATTAGTTAAGCTAATATAGTTGTATATGAAATATATTTGTATATTTATTGTTAGATATACAAGAGACATACTTATATGTTGCATTTTTATTATAAAAAAGTGAGTTAAAAAGTGTGTTATAAGTTGAAGAATAGAATTATAGCATAGTGATCTATAAAATCCATTTTCATCCTCTCATCCTATGAATTTAAGATAGGCTTATTTATGAGCTTGAAAAAGTTATAGAATGTCAAATTTCAATCAAATAGCCTAATATGTTATATAGATTTTAATTCCTGCAAAATGAAAAGATCCAAACGGTCCCCGAAAGATTTGTATACCTTCAGTTACACTGTTTGCATACAGCATCGTCATTTTCTGCAACCGGACGATGCTTCAAACTTATGGGGTCTTTATATGGAGAGCGACATTGCCCTGTTTAATAAGCCATGGCTAAAAGTACCGTTGATTGATTTATTATGAGAGAAAAATACTGTTTATTAACTGAAAAAGTACGACTTATAAGCCAAGCGAACAGGGCAATAGTTGAATTGCACTGCTATCATGTCATATACACTCTTTAACTTGTCAGATTTAGGCATGTGTGGTTACTGATTCCATCGTGACACCAAAATACAACCTGTAAGGCAGAGCCGAAGAACTGAAACAGCACAACTACATGCCCTATGGCCTTTGCTGTTATTGTACATTCATAATATGGACTATTCCTAGAATACGGAAACAACATCATTTCGGGAGAGGTGAAGAAACTGAGAGACACAACAGGATCAGAACAACAGGAGGGACAAAAGAAAGAATAAAATCACGGTTACCTCCCAAGCCCACTGCACGCCAGCCTGCATCCATTTGTCGCGCCCTGGCCAGGTGATGAGTAACACCTGTGTGTGCTTCGGCTGCAAAAGGTCAGTTAATCTGTACAGGGCGCCTCTTCAGTCTTCCCACTTCTATGATTGCCGGCATCTTTCAATGACTTCAGTGACAGCTGAATGTGTTTCCCTTGTCATCATGTTGAGTTGCAGATGAAATGACTGCACGAGAACAAGATGATTGGGTTATAAGCAAAACTAGCTCAAAGCTGTCGCGGAAAGGGAAATCTGGAAAACAACTGAGAAATTTTTGAAGCTAGAGCCGTCACATACTATCTAGTAAACATGCCAGAAAAAGAATAAATAGATACAGGCTACACAAAGAATAGGGATAGACATCTATGGACATGACATATTACTGGTCCCCAAAAATGGTAGTCCATCATGTATCTCTGGAACGTTGCTTGTGACGGTACATTCAGAAATTTTGGAGACATACCACAAATCTCTCTAGCACTGGTACAAGAACTTTTAAGTTGTTGTCCGGAAGGCAACTGGAAATGGCTCCTCGAACCTTCATACTGTGGCAGCAAACATACAGTTCAGAAGCTAACAGCAGTGGGGCTCACATTAAAATTATAATAAATTAAGAAAACATTATGAAATAAGGCAGTATGGACCTTTCCATTGAAAGAAAGGCGAGCACAAGTGCTGCATAGGCCTCCACGATCATCATTTCAGCTTCGCGTTCTCCTTGCAACAAAGATTCTTCATCATCCTGAAAATCAGAAATACCCATCAAATAAATGGCTCACAAGAGTCATACGATATGCAGAACACAGTTATACGTTTCTAGGTAGCATGTAGAAATATAACATATAGAAAAGCCATAATTGCATTGCCAACCCAGAACTAAAAGGTGCTAATTTAATTCTAAGCTCCAGCTAACCTTTTGGCAATCTCAAGTGTATATAAATAAACATATATATTTATATTCCTGGTGCTCCTTTTGTCTACACAACTGCCAACTGATACTCTGATTATATTGGCAGGTTTACAACATGATACAAAATAGCAGGGAGAAATGATGGTGGTCTAATGAAGAAATTGCAACTTATATGAGGGGGCACACAAAGCAAGGGAAAGTGAGACAAAACAAAACATTGCCTCATAATAAATGATGAATCAAACACCAATGTATGGTTCATATAAAAAAAAGAACACTGCTGGATTTTGTATTCTAGTGCACATGCAGCTGATTTTTTTCATTTTAGGATGATTTTTAAAAAATGAGTTTGCATGCCAACCTCTAAGACAAAGTACATCTATGGTTGCACTATGGATGTGCCAAGTTCCAAGTATGCGTTTTGAGTAGGTTCCCATGTTTCCACCTAAGATGTGGTTTTCCACTACATAGTTTCCCCTATATATATATGCCAAGATAAGGGCAGCCTGTCATTGGTAACATTACACCATGCCCATCAGTTAGAATTGCCGTCTGCCAGGTGTGGAAGGTGACCACACTTTGTTATTATGTTGTAAAATATGAAAACATGAGGATTAGAATTACCGGTGATATAGCTTCAGCAGTTTCCCCGGTACCTTGACTTGCTAAGAATATTGAACAGAGCAGGGGTATGACATCCCTCTGTACCTCTTTGCTATCTGGATTTTGAGATAGATTGACAGAAACACGGGCATTCGCAAGTCGTACCCTGTAGCCAGGTACAGTCAGAATTACAGGCATTGACTAGAGGATGTATAGCAACTTTCCAGATCTAAGAAACTGTCATACCAGTAATATTTACATGAATGGAGCAAATGGAGGCAAGGAAAGGGGGAGTCCTACCTATTAAGGCTATCCTTCTCCACAAGGTTGACAAGCAATCCCAATATGGCGACCAGAAAATCAAGTTCATAGTCTCGCAATTGCTTAGTTTTGATTTGGAGTGACTTGCCGTTCTGGGAAGACGAGAGATCACCAGAGGACACTCCTTTCATTTGATTGTTACTGTCCATGGAGAAATCAAATGAGGGGAAATGTTTAATGATCAAGGAGGCCATGGTATTAATTCCACCACATGACGCAATCTGTTCACAGCCAGACGGGTTTTCATTTGCCAAGTTCATAAGAACCTGCCACAAAATTAATGGAAGATGTTAGATACATCTCATTGCAAATGTAATAAAAACAAGTAGTCCCTCAATAACATGCCACTGGCTGGCCTGCAGCAAAAGATGTTTGTTTGGTAAAGCTAGCTGATCAAAACTTTCACAATGACCAGCAAAGTAGAAGTAGCAACTAAGCTTAAAACCTGTAAAGTTTTAATTTTGCATAAAGCTCACCCACTGCTCAAGCATAATCTCGCCCAAAAAAAACAAACAATACAAACTAGCATCTGTCAGAAATGGTTAACACCAATGATATTAAGGCGTCGCTTTGTCGTCGCTTAATCGCCAAGGCGCTCCACGCGGGACGCCACAGCAGACAACTCGCCTTACGGGAGGCCTCTGTTCTGGGCGGCGGGAAAACGCGTGAGAAGGATTGGAAACGGCGGGGAAAACTGAGAGAGAAGGGGTGCGCAGGAGAAACAGAGTGCGCCGGAGGGAGAGAGAGCGGGCGCGCAGGAGATTCACCAGCAGGAGAGCGGGAGGGGAACCAGAAGCCGCAGCTCGCCCGTGCGGACACGCGTTCTCCCGCACCGACGGGAGAAGTTGCTGCCCGCCCGCCGCTGAGCCGTGCGGCCGCCTGTGCGGGCTGCGGCCATGTTCCCCCAATCGATGCTGACCTGCAACATCTTGCCTCCTCTGTTCCTCCATCGAGCTGCAGCGTCCAAAGCCCTTCTGTTCCTCCGTCTATCAAGCAAGAAGAGCAGCACATCTGGAGGAGAGAGGGAAGCAAGAGACAGAGAGGGGCGGAGGCGGAGCGGCAGTGGACAACGAGAGAGAGAGAGAGAGAGAGAGAGAGAGAGAGGTGCGGTGGCGCTGGAGAGAGAGGATTGGGAGTTCGAGAGATGAAGCAGGAAGGTCAAAGGTGAGGGGTATATGGGCTGCCTGGTGGGCTGGGCCAGACTACTTGCTCCTT